CCAGTGTTCCATAGTGTGATCTACTACAGCCAGTATGAGACATCCAGTGTTCCATAGTGTGATCTACTACAGCCAGTATGAGACATCCAGTGTTCCATAGTGTGATCTACTACAGCCAGTATGAGACATCCAGTGTTCCATAGTGTGATCTACTACAGCCAGTATGAGACACCCAGTGTTCCATAGTGTGATCTACTACAGCCAGTATGAGACATCCAGTGTTCCATAGTGTGATCTACTACAGCCAGTATGAGACATCCAGTGTTCCATAGTGTGATCTACTACAGCCAGTATGAGACATCCAGTGTTCCATAGTGTGATCTACTACAGCCAGTATGAGACACCCAGTGTTCCATAGTGTGATCTACTGCAGCCAGTATGAGACATCCAGTGTTCCACAGTGTGATCTACTACAGCCAGTATGAGACATCCAGTGTTCCATAGTGTGATCTACTACAGCCAGTATGAGACACCCAGTGTTCCATAGTGTGATCTACTACAGCCAGTATGAGACACCCAGTGTTCCATAGTGTGATCTACTACAGCCAGTATGAGACATCCAGTGTTCCATAGTGTGATCTACTACAGCCAGTATGAGACACCCAGTGTTCCATAGTGTGATCTACTACAGCCAGTATGAGACATCCAGTGTTCCATAGTGTGATCTACTACAGCCAGTATGAGACACCCAGTGTTCCATAGTGTGATCTACTACAGCCAGTATGAGACACCCAGTGTTCCATAGTGTGATCTACTACAGCCAGTATGAGACACCCAGTGTTCCATAGTGTGATCTACTACAGCCAGTATGAGACATCCAGTGTTCCATAGTGTGATCTACTACAGCCAGTATGAGACACCCAGTGTTCCATAGTGTGATCTACTACAGCCAGTATGAGACATCCAGTGTTCCATAGTGTGATCTACTACAGCCAGTATGAGACATCCAGTGTTCCATAGTGTGATCTACTACAGCCAGTATGAGACATCCAGTGTTCCATAGTGTGATCTACTACAGCCAGTATGAGACACCCAGTGTTCCATAGTGTGATCTACTACAGCCAGTATGAGACACCCAGTGTTCCATAGTGTGATCTACTACAGCCAGTATGAGACACCCAGTGTTCCATAGTGTGATCTACAGCCATTATAGGATGCTTAGTGTTGTATATTGAGATTTGTTACAGTCAATACTAAACACCAACTATTGTATATTGGTATTTTACATGTAGTTGATTGTCATACATATCCTTCTGTCCATTTTTGTATAATTTGTGAAATTTAAATACTGTAGCTTAAAACTGTAAGCCTTGACAGACATTTCACCATAAAACAAGGTAATTTCTAGGGGGAGCCTCGTCGACTCAGCGGAGCTCAAGGCTGAATGGATATGTATATCTTTCGGGCATCAGTTAATGCATGGAGTTCTTGCCTACCGGGGACCACGAGCCAGAACCTGGCTTCCCTCTAGAGAGGCACGAGGAGCAATGGCCTGTAGCGACCCCCCTTGTGGATGAGATCATTCTATGTCTGCCATCCGGGAGTCGGTCGGCCGAGCAGACAGCATGCTGGACACATGATCCTGTGGTCCCGGGTTCGATCCCAGGCACCGGCGAGAGACAATGGGCAGGGTTTCTTTCACCCTATGCCCCTGTTACCTAGCAGTAAAATAGGTACCTGGGAGTTAGTCAGCTGTAACGGGCTGCTTCCTGTGGGTGGAGGCCTGGTCGAGGACCGGGCCGAGGGGACACTAAAAGCCCCGAAATCATCTCAAGATAACCTCAAGATAACCATCGACCGGAATAGGCTCCCAGAAAGGTAGGCGCCCCAAAACAAACCCCTATTCTGGTAAAACTATTGCGACCGAAGGCCGAACAGGTGGACAGAACTCCCCCAAACGAAAATTAGCAAACGAGCATGACATCATGTTGCCGCTCTGCTGTCTGTGCAGAACCCCCCCCCCCTCCTCCCCAGGAGGGGGAAGGGGGGAGCCCCAGACCCAACTGCCAGCGACCCAACCTTCAGTTCTTGACTGATGGGAGCCTGCTGCGGTTGTGCCTCTGGCTGCAGTTTTTGTTTCAGTTCTGTGCCTTGTGGTATGGGCTGTCCCTTCAGGTGGTGTGTGAGCCAGGAGACATAATCCACGGTACTCGGGCTGCATGCTCCTAGGGTTTCCTTCCCTAGGTTCCCTGTAAGTATTGCCCTTGGAGCTTGGGGCCTCCTTCCACAAGTCACCTCAGGATCTACCTCCGCTGTGCCGTTTACTGCTCAGTATTTGGCCGCCGTTGAAGTCAGCTGGGGTTTTTCTTACCCTTGTTTGTCTCTGGGTAGGGGGAAGCTTTCATCACTGGCAGCGGCACTGGGTACTGCACAGCTAGTTTACCAATAAAAGTGGCTGGCTCTGTTCTGCCTAGGTATGTTGTTCTCTTGTGGGGGTTTTTCTTTTGTTTTTGTTTTCTGCCTGGTGGGGGTCTGCCTGTGTGGTCCCCCATCACTGTTCTTTAGGTATATATATCTATATTTTATGTTTGGTAGTCCTCCCCGCTTGGCCCCCATGAGTGGACACATGCCGGGGGTTCAGCTTTAGAAGTTTGTTTGGTAGACTTGGGCGCCGGTTGGGAAGCCCTTGCGGCTTACCTCCTGCATGACCTGGATTATGCTTTAGTTATGGATCCGCGTTCCTTTGTGTACCGTTTGTCATGTTCAGAGACTGGCTCGGTTTTGTTGTGGGGCATCAGGGTTACCGCTCTTGTTATCTTCCCTTCAGGTTGAATCTGACGCCTCGCGTTTTCACGCACCTTACTCGGGTCGTGGTGGCCCATCTTCTTCTGTTACGTGTTCTGGTTCTAGCCTTCCTTGACAACTGGCTGGTTCGGGTTCTGGCCTACCTCGACGACTGGCTGGTTTGGGCTCCCAGCCAGTCCGCGTGTCTGCTCGCCAGGGATTTGGTTTATCCCAGCTCCCCGGGTTCGGGTTCTTGGTGAACTGGAGAAAGTCCCATCTGGTTCCCTCTCAGGTTCGGTCTTGGCTGGGTCTGGTTTGGGACGCTCGTACCTCTTCCTCTGGCGGCTCTGCTCTGTCTGCGTTTCCTCCTTCGTCTGTTCCTGAGGGATTCCCGGGTCATGAGGCGGTTGCTCGAGAGATTGTGCAGGAGCCTGAACATTGCCATGATGGTCTACCTGCCAGATCGGGTGTGGCTTTGTCAGCTGTTCTGGTTCTTTCAGGGATGGCCCTTCCACCTCTCTCGCAATAGTTGGGTTCGGCCTCCGGGGGTTTTGCGTCGGTTGCTGCGTCGCCGGCTTCCTCTTCGGGTTTTTCGGGGTTCAGTGCCTTAGCACCTACCCGAGCCCTCGCTCTATGTGTTCACGGATGCATCGTCTCTTGACTGGGGCTTTGTGACCAGTGCTCACCAGGCCGGCCAGAGGCGGTGGGGTCCGTCCTTCCGTCTGGCTCACAGCATGGTCAGGGAGTTCGTGGGGGTGTGGATGCCACTCCGGAGGGTTCGAGTTGCTCGTGGATCAGCGATCTGGCTCCGTTCGAACTGCTGCCTGGTGGTTCATTGCCTGAACCGAGGGGGTTCGATGCGGTCCTTGGCTCTTTGGGGCTGGTCGCTTCGGGTGACTCGTCTGCTGAGTTCTCGGGGTTTGGCTTCCCTGGCGGTTCACGTTCAGGGTGTGTGTAACGTCCTGGCGGATGGCCTGTCCTGTTTTCCTCCCCTTTTCACGGAATGGATGGTCGACGCTGACTCCTTCCGTTAGTTGTGCCAGTCATTCGGGACTCTGGATGTGGAACTTTTCGTGTCGGCATGGTCGAGGCATCTTCCGGTACGGGGTCAATGAATTTTGGCTGGACAGGGCCAGGTGGGGTTACCCGTACCTCTTTTCCCCAGTTTGGCTGTTGCTCCAGGTCCGGGCTTGCTTGGAGACTTACCAGGGAAGAGTTGTCTTTCTGGCTCCTTGGTGGCTGGCCCAGCCTTGATTTCAGGAGCTGCTTGCTCGGTGTCCGAACCCTAGGGTCGTCCCATGGCTTTGCCTCCTTTAGCAGATCGGTCCAGCCCGGTACAAGGCTGGACCGTCGGTCCAACCTATCGAGTCTTCGGTCTTCTCCTCAAGTCTTCACGTCTGGAGTTTTTGACACGAGTTGATCATCACTTGGATGGTGCACAGGTGGCTTCGTTGTTGGTCTCCCACCTGCGTGCATCATCTTGGTGACAGTATGAAGTTTCCTGGCGGTCCTTCCAGTTCTTCTTATTACTGTGTAGGTATTCTTCGGTCTCTGATAGGGTTGTTTTGTCCTCTCTCTCTCTCTCTCTTGGTTCTTCCAGGATTGTCATCTTATGCCCAATACTGTCGCCTCGTATCGTGCGGTGCTGGCAGAGCCGCTTCAGCTTGCTTTCGGTGTTGATGTTACTTCTGCCCCATTTCGCAAGCTGTCTCTGGTGTTGTTTCACCTCTGGCCTGCTCATGCACCTCCTGAGCTGTCCTGGTCTTTGGACCAGGTGCTCTCGTTTCTTTCTACTCCTCAGTTTGTTGTGGCCTCTTCCGTTCAGGATTGTTTTTCTAAAGCTCTTTTCCTGTTGGCATTGGCCTCTGGGGGTCTGGTCTCGGAGCTTCATGCTCTCCTCTGGTGCAGGGGTTTCTGCTCTTTCGGTTCTGGTGGTTGTTTTGTTCAGTTGCAGCCGTCTCCATCTTTTCTGGCGAAGAATGAGACGGCTGTGTTTTGGATGGGGCCATGGGTTGTTGATGCTTGATTGGTGAGGCCGGGGGGTGCATCATGTGCTGTGTCCGGTTGCGGCTCTCCGCCGTTATTTGCGCGCCATGGGATGTGCTTTGGGTTGACCCGGTTTCCCTTCTTCTCTGTTCCCGGGCTCGAGTCCCTCAGGTTGTCCGCAGGGTTATTAAGTCTAGCCTGCCTGCGGTTTATTCCCGTGCCCGCGATGTGCGTAAGTTTGCTGCTTTGGCTGCCGTCTTTGGCAACATCTCTTGGGTTGACATTCGAGCATGGAGTTTTTGGAGGTGGAACAGGGTCCTGTCAGTTTGCTACCTGGTAAATGTTCCTGGGCCAGGTAGGGCCTGCGTTGCATTGGGTCGGCAGTTGCAGCCAGTTGTCTCGACTTTGCGTTGAGGAGTGAGGACGGACCACCTCCCGGGTGCGTCAGTATTTTTTCCTTATCTTTGGGGTAGTTAGCTCCAGGGAGGTTATCTTGAGGTTATCTTGATGATTTCGGGGCTTAGTGTCCCCACGGCCCGGTCCTCGACCAGGCCTCCACCCCCCCAGGAAGCAGCCCGTAGCAGCTGTCTAACTCCCAGGTACCTATTTATTGCTAGGTAACAGGAGCATCAGGGTGAAAGAAACATTTTGCCCATTTGTCTCCACCTCCACCGGGGACCGAACACGGAACCTCAGGACTACGAATCCGAAGCGCTGTCCACCCAGCTGTCAGGCGCCCTACAAGGAGCCGACGGGGAGCCGACTCAGGAGCCCCCAGTTTTTTTTTCTGGGCTCCCCCCAGTTTTCTGGGGGGAGCCCAGAAAACTCCCCAGGGAGTTTTCTGGGCTCCCCCCAGAAAACAAGCATTGAATGTAATGAAACACCATTTTCTGGGTGAGTCCCGGAGGCTCCTCCGGCATCCCTCCCTCCCGCTGGTTGGCGGTGTTTTTCGCGCTTTTTGACATCCAGCCTAAGAACTGAAGGTTGGGTCGCTGGTGGGTGGGTCTGGGGCTCCCTCTTCCCCCTCCTGGGGAGAGGGGAGTTGCGCAGACAGCAGCTCGGCGACATGATGACGTCATGCTCGTTTGCTAATTTTCATTTGGGGGAGTTCTGTCCACTTGTTCAGCCTTCGGTCGCAATAGTTTTACCAGAATTGGGGTTTGTTTTGGGGTGCCTACCTTTCTGGATGCCTATCCCGATCTGTGCACATCTCTGCCTAGAATGCTCCCAACCACAGGGGGGGGGGTCTCTATAGGCCATTGCTCCTCATGTCTCTCTAAAGGGAAGCCAGGTTCTGGCTCGTGGTCCCCGGTAGGCAAGAACTCCATGTATTGACTGATGCCAGAAAGATATACATATCCATTCAGCCTGGATAGCTCGGGGAAGCCTCCGGGACTCACCCAGAAAATAGCTTTTCATTACATTCAACACTGTCTTTTTTTGTTTCAGGTTTTACCAAAAAGAACTGCTAAAGTCATTTTCCAAAAGATTATGGCAGATCAGTTCATTGCAGCACCATTTTTTGCTGTGACCTTTTTCCTTGGTGCTGGAATTTTAGAAGGAAAATCGCTTAATTCATCTTGGCAAGAATTTAAAATCAAGTTTCCTGCAGTCTATGCTGTAAGTTATGTTACTATTTTTCTCATTTTTCTTTTACAAAATACTAAAAAAAAGATTTCCAAGAACATTATACCATTTGATGGAAACTAGTAGTAACTGCAGTTACTAGTAATTACAATAGTTATAAAGCGTACTTTTAACTTTAAGGAAAAGAAGGTAGTGATTCAACTGTATAAATCTCTGGTGTGCTCCCATTTGTACTACTGTATCAAAGCATGGAGATCCCATCTTCAGAATGACATAGCTGCTATGGAGAAAGTGCAACACCAGGCAACAAAAATCATTCCAGAGCTGAGTTTTGTCTTGTATCAGGAATGGTTGATGGCCACTGGGCTAACAACACAGCAAATCAGGCATGACAGGGCAGATCTCATTGAAGCTTTTTAAAATACCGAACACGTTTGAGGATTGTCGTGTCATAATCCACAGCAAGGCTCACGGAATAGAATTTTCCCTTATAAATCATTGAGCCACTTGGCCTCAAACTGTTTAGTTGAAGTTGGTCTTGGGTAGAGTCAAAGTAACATCCACCAGTTTACTGGGGCCAGCTAATCTACATGACACTGCTTCTTATATACACAAATCTCTCTATGCATACTCACAACCATTAGCAATGAAGTACACTAACACAAAGCACAAGTCATAGCATCTAGATATCACTAGGCAAAATCACCTAACAACATTTGTACACTAGTCCACTCAAGAATGGCTGAAAAAGTGTGATCATGGTGGGTAGTGATGTTACATAACCAGAGTGAGGGGTAATGTCTCGGCATGATCATGGTGGGTAGTGATGTTACATAACCAGAGTGAGGGGTAATGTCTCGGCATGATCATGGTGGGTAGTGATGTTACATAACCAGAGTGAGGGGGTAATGTCTCGGCATGATCATGGTGGGTAGTGATGTTACATAACCAGAGTGAGGGGTAATGTCTCGGCATGATCATGGTGGGTAGTGATGTTACATAACCAGAGTGAGGGGTAATGTCTCGGCATGATCATGGTGGGTAGTGATGTTACATAACCAGAGTGAGGGGTAATGTCTCGGCATGATCATGGTGGGTAGTGATGTTACATAACCAGAGTGAGGGGTAATGTCTCGGCATGATCATGGTGGGTAGTGATGTTACATAACCAGAGTGAGGGGTAATGTCTCGGCATGATCATGGTGGGTAGTGATGTTACATAACCAGAGTGAGGGGTAATGTCTCGGCATGATCATGGTGGGTAGTGATGTTACATAACCAGAGTGAGGGGTAATGTCTCGGCATGATCATGGTGGGTAGTGATGTTACATAACCAGAGTGAGGGGTAATGTCTCGGCATGATCATGGTGGGTAGTGATGTTACATAACCAGAGTGAGGGGTAATGTCTCGGCATGATCATGGTGGGTAGTGATGTTACATAACCAGAGTGAGGGGTAATGTCTCGGCATGATCATGGTGGGTAGTGATGTTACATAACCAGAGTGAGGGGTAATGTCTCGGCATGATCATGGTGGGTAGTGATGTTACATAACCAGAGTGAGGGGTAATGTCTCGGCATGATCATGGTGGGTAGTGATGTTACATAACCAGAGTGAAGGGTAATGTCTCGGCATGATCATGGTGGGTAGTGATGTTACATAACCAGAGTGAGGGGTAATGTCTCGGCATGATCATGGTGGGTAGTGATGTTACATAACCAGAGTGAGGGGTAATGTCTCGGCATGATCATGGTGGGTAGTGATGTTGCATAACCAGAGTGGGGGGGGGGGTAATGTCTCAGCATGATCATGGTGGGTAGTGATGTTACATAACCAGAGTGAGGGGTAATGTCTCGGCATGATCATGGTGGGTAGTGATGTTGCATAACCAGAGTGGGGGGGGGGTAATGTCTCGGCATGATCATGGTGGGTAGTGATGTTACATAACCAGAGTGAGGGGTAATGTCTCGGCATGATCATGGTGGGTAGTGATTTTACATAACCAGAGTGAGGGGTAATGTCTCGGCATGATCATGGTAGGTAGTGATGTTACATAACCAGAGGGGGGGGGGGTAATGTCTCGGCATGATCATGGTGGGTAGTGATGTTACATAACCAGAGTGAGGGGTAATGTCTCGGCATGATCATGGTGGGTAGTGATGTTACATAACCAGAGTGAGGGGTAATGTCTCGGCATGATCATGGTGGGTAGTGATGTTACATAACCAGAGTGAGGGGTAATGTCTCGGCATGATCATGGTGGGTAGTGATGTTACATAACCAGAGTGGGGGGGGGTAATGTCTCGGCATGATCATGGTGGGTAGTGATGTTACATAACCAGAGTGAGGGGTAATGTCTCGGCATGATCATGGTGGGTAGTGATGTTACATAACCAGAGTGAGGGGTAATGTCTTGGCATGATCATGGTGGGTAGTGATGTTACATAACCAGAGTGAGGGGTAATGTCTCGGCATGATCATGGTGGGTAGTGATGTTACATAACCAGAGTGAGGGGTAATGTCTCGGCATGATCATGGTGGGTAGTGATGTTACATAACCAGAGTGAGGGGTAATGTCTCGGCATGATCATGGTGGGTAGTGATGTTACATAACCAGAGTGAGGGGTAATGTCTCGGCATGATCATGGTGGGTAGTGATGATCAGATGGGGGGGTAATGTCTCGGCATGATCAGTGTATGTTACATAACCAGAGTGAGGGGTAATGTCTCGGCATGATCATGGTGGGTAGTGATGTTACATAACCAGAGTGAGGGGTAATGTCTCGGCATGATCATGGTGGGTAGTGATGTTACATAACCAGAGTGAGGGGTAATGTCTCGGCATGATCATGGTGGGTAGTGATGTTACATAACCAGAGTGGGGGTGAGGGGTAATGTCTCGGCATGATCATGGTGGGTAGTGATGTTACATAACCAGAGTGAGGGGTAATGTCTCGGCATGATCATGGTGGGTAGTGATGTTACATAACCAGAGTGAGGGGTAATGTCTCGGCATGATCATGGTGGGTAGTGATGTTGCATAACCAGAGTGGGGGGGGGGTAATGTCTCGGCATGATCATGGTGGGTAGTGATGTTACATAACCAGAGTGAGGGGTAATGTCTCGGCATGATCATGGTGGGTAGTGATGTTACATAACCAGAGTGGGGGGGGGGTAATGTCTCGGCATGATCATGGTGGGTAGTGATGTTACATAACCAGAGTGAGGGGTAATGTCTCGGCATGATCATGGTGGGTAGTGATTTTACATAACCAGAGTGAGGGGTAATGTCTCGGCATGATCATGGTGGGTAGTGATGTTACATAACCAGAGTGAGGGGTAATGTCTCGGCATGATCATGGTGGGTAGTGATGTTACATAACCAGAGTGAGGGGTAATGTCTCGGCATGATCATGGTGGGTAGTGATGTTACATAACCAGAGTGAGGGGTAATGTCTCGGCATGATCATGGTGGGTAGTGATGTTACATAACCAGAGTGAGGGGTAATGTCTCGGCATGATCATGGTGGGTAGTGATGTTACATAACCAGAGTGAGGGGTAATGTCTCGGCATGATCATGGTGGGTAGTGATGTTGCATAACCAGAGTGGGGGGGGGGTAATGTCTCGGCATGATCATGGTGGGTAGTGATGTTACATAACCAGAGTGAGGGGTAATGTCTCGGCATGATCATGGTGGGTAGTGATGTTGCATAACCAGAGTGGGGGGGGGGTAATGTCTCGGCATGATCATGGTGGGTAGTGATGTTACATAACCAGAGTGAGGGGTAATGTCTCGGCATGATCATGGTGGGTAGTGATGTTACATAACCAGAGTGAGGGGTAATGTCTCGGCATGATCATGGTGGGTAGTGATGTTACATAACCAGAGTGAGGGGTAATGTCTCGGCATGATCATGGTGGGTAGTGATGTTACATAACCAGAGTGAGGGGTAATGTCTTGGCATGATCATGGTGGGTAGTGATGTTACATAACCAGAGTGAGGGGTAATGTCTCGGCATGATCATGGTGGGTAGTGATGTTACATAACCAGAGTGAGGGGTAATGTCTCGGCATGATCATGGTGGGTAGTGATGTTACATAACCAGAGTGAGGGGTAATGTCTCGGCATGATCATGGTGGGTAGTGATGTTACATAACCAGAGTGAGGGGTAATGTCTTGGCATGATCATGGTGGGTAGTGATGTTACATAACCAGAGTGAGGGGTAATGTCTCGGCATGATCATGGTGGGTAGTGATGTTACATAACCAGAGTGAGGGGTAATGTCTCGGCATGATCATGGTGGGTAGTGATGTTACATAACCAGAGTGAGGGGTAATGTCTCGGCATGATCATGGTGGGTAGTGATGTTACATAACCAGAGTGAGGGGTAATGTGTCGGCATGATCATGGTGGGTAGTGATGTTACATAACCAGAGTGGGGGGGGGGGGGTAATGTCTCGGCATGATCATGGTGGGTAGTGATGTTACATAACCAGAGGGGGGGGGGGGGTAATGTCTCGGCATGATCATGGTGGGTAGTGATGTTACATAACCAGAGTGGGGGGTAATGTCTCGGCATGATCATGGTGGGTAGTGATGTTACATAACCAGAGTGGGGGGTAATGTCTCGGCATGATCATGGTGGGTAGTGAAGTTGCATAACCAGAGTGAAGGGTAATGTCTCAGCATGATCATGGTTGATAGTGACGTTACATAACCAGAGTGGGGGATAATATGTCTGCAAGAACATCAATAACACAAGTCGGTGAACTATCACTTTGCCTTCAGAAAAACTTAAGTCCCAACGGGATTTGCAAATGGCAAAGTCTAAACTCTTCTCAAATTAGTCAGAGTTCACAATGACTGTATATATGACAGTCAAGAATTTTATGGAAGTTAAAGTCTACAGTGCCATGCCAAAGGGTAAAGTCAATTACAGAGCACCACTTGGTTTCCGAACCCCTTGGGGACGAGACCCATCGGTTAACATGTAAGTTCGTAAACGAGAAATAGAGGGAAAAAATAAAC